CGTATCACATAAGGAGTTTCCTCCCATGTAAACAGATGTGTGCCATGATAAAACCTTCCTCCACACACTAGAAATAAGAAACTAATTTCAACCCTCTGTTACATCTTATTGACTTCTGTTATAATCCAGTCATTTTTCAAGTCTAGTATCAATAAACAAATTTGCATATCAACTTATAATGCGCTAAGTTGACAGGTCAACAGAAATGCATGTTCAAAATATTATCACAAAAGAGAATTTCTTTCATACAGTAAATTACTTGTGTTGCATCAGTCAAACAGAAAGCATCTCACAATTTATTGTATTACCAACTAAATTTATTGTCTGATTATTGCTTGGTCATACCAGACTCTCTCTGTGTCTTTATTTTTTCTTCTCTGTTTTCACAAACGTTTCACCTATTGTCCTGCCCAGAATGAATAGAATGAATGAAAGCAGATAATTCACACAAACACATATTAAATGAAATAGAGAGATGCATAAAGTATATTGAGGGATATTGGCTGTCATTGTTCAGCCAAGGAAAGTGTGTGAAAAGGAAAATGTCTCCAGCTTGGGAAAGGGTGAAACTGCAGATCACCTGCAGCCCTTGGTGAATACAAAATAAAATATAAATAAAATATTGTAATATACCATTGCTGTTATATAAAAAAATAATAGCATTAATAATGAAATAATATTAATATCAAGAGGCACCTGAGTCAGTTATGATGTGAGGTGATTAATTGCTAAAAGCAGTCTGCATTAAGCTTAAGGTTTGCTCAAAATCAATACAATGATATATGAGATGAAGAAAATAAAGAAAATATCTAAACTAATTAAGTGCATAGAGGCACTTGACCTGCTTGAAAACCTGTCATCCTAGATGAGACATTGTTGAGATATAGAGCACACCCATACTAACAACTAATAAGCTAAACCCTGTATACAACAGCTAAAGCTACAAAATTGAGAAGCTAAATTAAATATGTGGTCACTGCTAAGCTGATGAGCAAGTTTTTTAAAAACTTTTTTTAGAGCACATTAAAGCACATTTTTTAGAGCAGGAGCTGCATGCTATTAAAGCTCAAACATGCAGCTGTCTGTGAGTTCAGCTTTTTTCCCCTCACACTTCAGATTTGTTTTTGAAAGCAGCCTTTTTGTGTGTGTCCTGACTTATGTGTGTAAAGTGTTCATGCCATCAGCAACTTGTTTTTTTTTTCTCTTTTTGTTTTGTTTTGTTTTTTGTTTGTTTGTTTTGTTGAATTGAAAAAATAAATAAATTTGTGATCACACTTGTGGATCACAGTGACACATAACGATTAGGCAATCAGCATTTTCAGTTGTGTCTTTACTGTTGTTCTCTGTGTAGTGTGCTGAGTTTTTTGCTTTTTGTTTTTTGTTTTTTTGACGTGTTGCTTGAGTGAGGAGTACTGTGACTCCTGAAGTAGATCTCACCATGTGACCTTGATGATGATAAGTTCAGAGCCAGCTGAGAGCTGAGAGCTGGGTTGTCTGCTTTGTTTTAGGTGATAAAGCAGAAAAGTTCAAACTTAGTTTCTTGTTTTGAAAAAACAAAAACAAAGAGGTTTTGTGTTTCTCAGCAAAGAACAACTACAACTTCATTTTCTGTTTTTGAGAAAGGCGAATTTAAAATAAAAATAATAATACAACAAACAAAGAGTGACGTTTTGTTTAAGTGGTGAAGAAAGCTAATACTGCAAAATACCGTTTAGTGCATGATCTACGACCAATAAATGAAATCACTGAAATGATGCCACCAGTAGTAGCAAATCCCCACTCTCTATGGTAAAAATGGCCTGTATTTATATAGCGCTTTAC